TCATTGAAGACAGCAGGGTCCTGTCTCCTCCGGGGGTCAGGCCTTTCGCAGCATCCCTCGTGAACAACACTCTGCCCTTGCTGAGCACGGGCCCTGGTGTCGAGAGCCTTGAAGGAACAGTGACAGAAATGGCTGTTCATGCTGCAGCTGTCCTTCTGTGTGGACAGAGCGAAGTCTTGGCCCCTTTGCGGAACTTGGCCTTCTCCCCGGCCAGCATGGCGGTAAGCAGCCCTGTGAAACTTCAGTGGTTTGTCATGTTGGGAGATCCAGCCAACATGACAACATGAGATGTGGCCATGGGAACTGTCAAACCTGTCCATCTTCTAGATTTCTGCACTGTTGCCCCACTTGGTCCTTCAGCACAGTGCTGGTGTCATGGCTGTCATTTCACATGAAGTTGCTGTACGTCCTCTATAAACAGCTCTCGAGCTGAGTAGAAACTTCCTCACTCTGTGCCTCTTGCTGGTTAGCAGCCATAGCCAACAGGCCCTCTTAGGAGGGTGATTTCTGCTCTGGGTCTTTCAGAATGCTTTTCTTCCAACGATGCCTGAAGACCTGCTAGCTCAAGCCCAGAAGTGGAGGGGTCTGGAAGGCGTCTGCTGGTACAGTGAGTACTGGTGTCTCAAGGGGTCACGCTTTGCAGCTTGTAAGACCATCCTTTGATCATGCCAGACCTGGGGTTGGTCCTGGGCTTCATAGGGTTCTGCTGAAGGCCCAAGTCACCTGCCTCCTCCTGCCTTTGGCAATTGGCAGAGCCATGTGGCTTGAGAGCCACATAGTTTGCTGGCTAGATGACGTTTTCCTGCATAGTCATGGGACAAAACCTTTGGCCTGCATTGTTGCTCTCCAGAAAATGTCATTTGGGAGAATGGAGACCTGGGGACCATTCTGAGGCTCATTCAAAAGCAGTCATAATCCATAATCCAAGGTTGTTTTTTTTTTTTGTTGTTGTTTTTTTTTAAGAGAAAGAGAGAGAGAGAATTTTTTAATATTTATTTTTTAATTTTCGGCGGACACAACATCTTTGTTTGTATGTGGTGCTGGGGATCGAACCCGGGCCGAACGCATGCCAGGCAACGCGCTACCGCTTGAGCCACATCCCCAGCCCAATAACTAGTTTTTCAAATTGTTATAAAACATGGTTTTGCCAAAAAAAAAAAAAAAAGAAAACATCCAAGGGAATAGAAAGTTACAAAACACTGTCCCCTCTGCCACCCTAGTGCGTGAATCTCACCTCTCTGCTGTGTAAAGCCAAGTTCAGACATTTTTCACTGGTGGCACGTATTCAGTTAACTCCAGGAACATGTCTAGTAACTTAGCTGACGGCATGGCTCAAGGATCCTGGTGAGGAGCTCAGGACGTAGGCTGTGGGTCCTTTTGGTCAGGGACAGAGAGGAGGGCAGCAATTTCCCCTTCCCACATAGGTCATTTGGTGGAGACTCACTAGTTAACATGTGTCCTGTTGTTCTTTGAACAGATTGTCCCAACGGTCATCCGTGCTCTGTCGGAGAGGTGAGTCTTGGTATTTGGGGGAGGCTCAAAATGTGCATTTCTCATCTGAAGTGGAAGGGTGCAGAGAATAAGTGTCTTGACCTTCTGGGAGATACAGGCTCATTCTGAGGGCTGCTCATGGTGTTCCAACTGAGCATCTAAATGGCACTGTGGACATTATTCTTTACTGCAGGTCTTTATTGCATTGTAGGATATTTAGCAGCATGCCTGACCTCGGCTCACTGGGTACCAGTAGCAGCACTTCCTGGACCAGTGAATCTACAGGCACTGCCCAAGTCCCTGGGATACAATGGTGCTGCTGGCTGGGAGCCCCACTCCCTCCCTGGCCCTGCCACACAGCTGGATCACTAGCCAAAAAGCAAGTGTGGGCTAGACACCAGAGGACATTCGAGGACAGGAAAGATTCAGGGGCGTGAGTGATGAGCCCTGGGGGAAGAGTGGGTGCTGCTCTTCCAGGACTCTAGGGCGTCTCTGGGCTGCTCATGGCATCTGCGCTTGCTGAGCAACAGGCTGCTGGACTGGATTCCAGTGTGCTGCTCCATAAAGTGAACAGGAGACACTTCACCCTCCTGAACCTACTCACTTCCTTGTTGTGCAGTGAGATAGGAACAGGTTCCAGGACCACTCTGTTCTGAGAGCCTGCAGTGAAGGGTCTGCTGTGGTTGTGGTTCACATGTGGCAGGGTACCCTGTGACTTGGAAACATGGGCCCTTGGTAGAGGCAGATCTTTTTTTTTTTGAGAGAAAGAGAGAGGAAAAAAAATTTTTTTTTGTTTAATATTTATTTTTTATAAAAACATCTTTATTTTATTCTTATGTGGTGCTGAGGATCGAACCTGGCCCTAGCGCGCTCTCCTGGCCCCACGCATGCCAGGCGACCGCGCTATCGCTTGAGCCATATCCCCAGCCCTGGTAGGGGCAGATCTTGTGGTTAGGTGTTTGGGTTCTTTCCAGTGGATGAGGAGGTCTGTCCAGTTAGATAGTGAAGCTCTGGACTCTCGGAGAGAGGTGGTGAGTGTGAGGATGGGAGACCAGGTTGTGCACACTTGTTACGCTACTTGGGAGGAAAAACTGTCATGCTGATTATTTTTAAATAAAGCCACCTTTGCCGCTGGATAGCACACTTGGTTAAGTGCCCGCCCTGTCCCCAGGCTCCTGTTCGTCCTTGACACACACACGCACAGATGCAGTCCCAGCAGGACAGGCCACCTCCTGTGCAGGGTGGCTTCTATGCATGCCATGATGCTCACTGTGGGTCCCCTCTCTGTCCCAGTGTGGCATGCCGATGGAGCAGGGCTCCTGTGTTGACTGCGGTGCTCTCATCGGAGGTGTCGACCACAAACCTCACGCCGGCTTCCTGAGCATCAGGTATGTGGGCTCAGCTTCCCTCCCTCAGAGCCTGTGGCCCTGGGCTGTCCACTGCTGCACATCTGTGCCCTGGTTGTGCTGGGGAGCCACATCAAGCACACCTGTAGTCATTTTTGGGGTTTGGCTTTTTTTTTTTTTTTTTCTTTTTTTTTGCTTTGTTTTCAGTGCTAGGGACGGGACCTGCGGCCTCATGTGCCAGGCAAGTGCTCTAAAACTGAGCTACTCCCCAGCCCTGTTTTTCTTCTTTTTAATATGTAATCAGTCTTATCAAGTACATCCCTCCCTCCCTATCTTTTCTGTGGGGACTATTCCCAGGACACTGCCCTCCACATATACTCAGTTCCAGATGATCAGATCCTTTATATGTCGTGGCACAGTACTTGTATGTGACCTACAAATATGGTCCCGTACATTTTTTTTTTTTTTTTTTTTTGGTACACAGGTCTTAACCACTGAGCCACATCCCCAGCCTTTTATAGATTATATATATATATATATATATATATATATATATATATATTTTTTTTTTAATTTAATTTTTAGTTATAGGTGGTCACAATATCTTTATTTTTTATTGGTACTGGGAATCGAATCCACCCTCACACATGGTAGGCGAGCGCTTTACCTCTGAGCCACAGCCCCAGTCCCTTTTTTTATATTTTATTTAGAGACAGGGTCTCACTAAGTTGCTTAGGGCCTTGCTAAGTTGCTGAGGCTGGCTTTGATCTGTGATCCTCCAAAGATGCTGGGATTACAGGTGTGCACCACTGTGCCCGGTTCACTATAGACTTCTAAAATATCATCTCTAGGTTGCTTATTATACCTTAAGCAAAGTGAATGCTATGTAAATACTCATAATATTTTATAGAAAATAAGAAGAAGAAGAAAAATTACTATTCAGTATAGACATAGTTATTTCTGAAAAATTTTGATTCACAGTTGGTTGAATCCAGGTACAGACTGCAGATACGGACAGCCCACTGTACCAGACTCAGAAACCATATAAAATTCTGACCTTCAGCTAGGCAGTGGTACAAGCCTATAATCGCAGCTACTTTGGAGGCTGAGACAGGAAGATCAAAAGTTTGAACACAGCTGGGGACTTTTGTGAGACCCTGTCTCAAAAATAAAAATATAGGGCTAGGGATACAGCTCAGTTGGTAGAGTGCCTGCCTCACACGCACAAGGCCCTGGGTTCAATCCTGGCCTCCATACTGACAGCCTGCACTAATGGCCACATCATGCAGCTACTTAACACTGGGAATGTGTAGGGTTTGGCCAGCCATCCATCCAGCCAGCCAGCCAGATGGGTCTAAAGAGAGAAAGACTTGGAGGCAGGTGGTCTAGGCAGGTAGAATATCTAGTATTTCTTTAAAACTAGAAACCTAGGGGTTGGTATAGCTCAGTTGGTAGGGTGGTTTCCTAGCATGCACAAGGCCCTGGGTTCAATCCCCAGCACTGAAAAAAAAAAAAAAAAAAACTGGAAATATGGTGGTGCACACCTGTATCCCAGTGGCTAAGGCAGGAGGATCAAAAATTTTTAAAGCAGCCTCAGCAACTTAGTGAGGCCCTGTCTCAAAAAATAAAAAAGTGGGTGTTGAGAATGTGGTTCAGTGGTTGAGCCCCTGGATTCCATCCCGAGTACCAAAAACAAAAAACAAACAAAACAAACTGGGAACCTGGTTGTAAGATGCACGGCCCCTGCAGCTGAGGAGAAACAGATGTCTCTAGCCTTCACTGCCTTCTCTTATCCTCTCCAGAGCCAACACAGACAGAACCAGGACTGGCCATGTGCTGGGCCACCCGCAACACAGAGGTGTCGTAGTGGTGTCTGACCGAGAGCTGTCCCCCGTGGTCTTCATCCTCATCCGGCTCCTCACTCATTTGGCTATGCTTCTGGGAGCCACCCAAAGTCCTAAGGTACAGGACGCTACCGCCAGACTCTGAAGTTGCCATGGGAAGAGCCAGCTGCCTTTGCATCAGTCCGTTGTCTGCCTAGTCCTAGCCCCTGGGGGTTTTACCTAGTCCACGAGTGGTACAAGAGTTACAGACCCTACTTTTTCCACTGCGGCCTCGATGGAGTAGAGCAACTACTCATCAGATTATGGAAACTCCACTTCATTTTGAAATTTTCAAAATCTGTTTTATTTAACTGACACACAGCATGTTAGTGGGGTACAGTGTGACATCTTAGCACGTGTATAATAGGATGTAACATTCAGATCATAACGTCTACTTGGAGTGCACAGCTCTGTCCTCGGCCCACAGCTGGGCATGGTAGGGCAGGGGACCCTGTTGCCTATGACCTCATGGTGGCTGCAGGAGGTACAAGGCAGTGTTCCCCGCCACACCACGATGACATCAGTCAGCAGTCTCCCACTGCACTCACCTGCCTTCCGTCCCCTGCTGCCTGCGTCATGCTGAGAGCACCCTGGCCTCACCTAGAAACCACCCTCTCCCAGTGGTGGTGTTCACCTCTGCCTGGTCCTTGCCCCCACAGGCCCTGATAAACATCATCAAGCCTCCAGTGAGGGACCCAAGAGGATTCCTGCAGCAGCACATCCAGAGAGACTTGAAGCAGTTAACAAAGACACTGGGGAAGACTGCCGACGAGACCACCCACGTGGTCCACCTCATCCTGCGCTGCCTTCTCAAAGAGCAGTGCTCACTCCCTGGCCAGAGTAAGCAAGGGACAGGGCTGGGCACGACTCCCAGGAGGCCAGGCTCCCTTGGCTCCTGCCGAGCGGTGACACGAGTGGAAGTGAGCTCTCTACTCTTCTTGCGGGGGCTGGAGGGCACTGCACTCCTCCACACACCCCCTGCCTGACTGAGGCCTGCAGCACAGACACCTGGTGCATGTGCACACAGCCTTAACCTGTGCCCTGGGATCATGTTGCACCCCAGCAAGTGACACGTGTCCCACTTCTGCTTTCCCAAAGATGTCACACTTGTACCCTGACCTAGTATATTCACATCTACAATTTGTAACATGAACAAAAGGAGGCTACAAACACTGTTTGCCCAACTAACTCTTCTAAACACTTATATCCATGCCCAAAGCATAGGTTTGCAAGGGGACTTTGTAAGTGGTTATCGGGGTGGCATTAGGAGGGATTTCAGTTTGTTGCTTACCTGCAAAAATCATGATGACCACTGTAGAACCATGTTATTTAAAAGCCTACAGATAATTACAATTGCAATAATGTTCCTACAGCCAGAGAATCTGTTCCCCTTCAGGGGTGTCTTTGCCAGAAAACAGCATTAGTGTGTAGTTCCCACCTTAGCGAGACCAACTTTGCCGAGTGCCTCTGTTGTGGTGTGGTTTCTGCAGCACACGGACCTGGGAGCCCTAACCTGCTGCCAGCTCATGGCACCACCTCTGCCTACGGGCCTGGGGGCAGCAGTGAGCTGGCTCTGTGTGGCTGTCAAGTTCTCGTCCTGTCCTCAGCCATTTGTTTGGAATGCCTTTAAGACCACAGCTGTAGGGACCTGGGGACACGGCTCAGTTGGTAGAGTTCTTGCCTTGTATGCACAAAGCCCTTGATTCAATCCCCAGCACCACAAAAAAAAAAAAAAAAAAAAAAAAAGATTAAAAAAGACCACAGCTATGGCTTGGAGGTTTGCCAGAGACTACAGCATCTTCACAAGGTCTGGAGGCTGGTGTTGGCAGTACCTGGTTAACTTAAGGAAAGAAGACTATCTATTAATGTCATTCGGTGCTTACTGTATGGAGATTGCTGTTTTTTGTTTGTTGGATAACACAGACATTTTTGTTTTCTTTGTAGGGCATTTAAATTTTGATGCGGAATTGTCAACCAAAGAACGGAGAAACAATTGGGAAAAACATGTTGCATCTCTTCTTCTACCTGAACTGGAGGTAAGGGGCAAGTGGTGACCAATCCTTAGCTCTCTGTCCAGAAGGGTCCCATAAGTCAGGCCAAGGATTATCAGGAGTTCTCAGAGGGCAGGCAGCAGCCTGCTCTCCACTGCTTTTTACAGCAGGTTGTGAAAGTAAGAGGCAGAGACCCTCCAGAAATGCACGGGCACTCTGGATTCATGAGCGCTCCACTGAGAACATCAGAGCCAACTATCCACAGCAGGACAGGGAAGTCAGGAAGTGAAGGGTGGTGAAATACAGGCCCTAGAGTCCTGCTCTGTTTAGGAACAAGGAACCCCTGAATCACAGTGAAAGAGAGCAAAAGTGAGCGTCTGGGGTGCAGAGGCAGACTCCTGCGGAGCCACTGTGGCATCTGCTCGGCTTTCTGGGTCAGTGCCCCACGTGCAGAATGCTGTGTCATTTCTTTACCCAGCATCTAGACAAGACCCTGCTGACTGTGAGCACGCTCATCAGCCAGGATGAACGTGTCAGCTCCAACCCCGTGGCCAAAATCATATATGGTGACCCAGCAAACTTCCTGCCCCGACTGCCCCAGAAAAATGTGGTTCATTGCTCAAAGATTTGGAGCTGCAGGAAGAAGATCACAGTCGAGTACCTCCAGCATGTTGTGGAGCAGAAGAACGGCAAGGAGATGGTGCCCATGCTCTGGCAGTTCCTGCAGAAGGTGTGTCCACCTCATGGTCTGCCTCCTTTACCTGCTAGACTTCTCCTGAGGACCGGGAGGCTGTGACTGGGTTCAGAGTCATCATTCCTAGAGGCAGAACCCTAACCTTCCCATCAGCACTGTGATCCTGAAGGCAAGGCCTGTAGCGTGAGTCTCAGGGAGAGCGCAGAGGTCTAAAGACACATCTGCTGAAGTCACAGGTGGAATATGCACAAGTGGGCTTAGTGGTGCCCTGTAAGGAACTTAAAGACCAGGAGGGACCACCCTGGTCACTCAGCTCTTGTCTTCATCCCCAGAAGTTGAGCAGATGGTCACCAGCAAGTGCCTGCTCAGCCAGGGGCCTCCCTGTGCCTTGCAGGCAGGAGGCAGTGTGCTGCATGATGTCGAGTTATACTGCCAGGCTCAGGAGTGGTCCCCAGCTTTTACCCACTTGAGCTCTCCTGGGCCACAGCAGATGTTCTCACCTCCTCCCTCATGGACCGTCATTACCATAGCTGACAGGGAGCAGAATGATTTGGAAAGGTCTGGTGCTCACACTAGGAAGGACTTGGTGCTAGTGTTGTGATCTCTTATCAAGACACAGTTTCATTTCACTGAGGATGCTGGATCCTGGCTCTTCAGAACAAAACCCAGTGACCACTGCCTGGGGTCTTGGTGTTTCCTTCCAGCAGCCTCACACCCAACAGTGGGCCTAGGAGGCAAATTTCTTTTTATTTTTCCCTAATTATTTACTTTTACTAATTAATTAGTTGTACACATTAATGGAATTGTGATATTTCCATGTATGCATATAGCATGTACTGATCTCGTCTGTGTCTGGCTTGTTTCACTTAACAACATAACATCCTCTAGTTCTATCCATTTTGCTGAAAATGACAGGACTTCATTCATTCTTCTTACAGCTGAATTATTTTCAGCTATTATGTATAAACCACATCTTCTTTATCCATTCATCTGATGGGCTTCAGGGAGATTCCATGTCAGCTATTGTGAATGGTGTCACGTAAACATAGGCTGACTTCCTTTGGAGTGGGCTATCTGGATCACATGGTAAACGTTTTTTTAGTTTAAGAAACCTCCATACTGTTTTCCATTATGAGGTACTAGTTTACATTGCCACCGGGAGTATATTAGAGTTCTTTTTTCTCTTTATCTTTGCGTACATTTGTTATTTTATGTTTGGGGCTCATTTATTTTGGGGGGTTGGGGAATAGTGGTGACTGAACCAGGACCTTGGGCATGCTAGGTCAGCAACGCTCTACTACTGAGCTATAGCCCCCATCCCCAGCCCTCCACACTTTTTAGTTGTAGATGGACACAATATTTATTTATTTTTCTGTGGTGCTGAGGATCAAACCCAGTGCCTCACACATGCGAGGCAAGTGCTCACTAACTGAGCTATAGCCCCAGCCCTTGTTTTTTTAAAGACAGAGTCTCGCTAAGTTGCCCAGACTGGACTAGAACTTACTGAGGCTAACCTCAAACTTGTGATCCTCCTGCCTTAGCCTCCAGAGTAGCTGGGATCATAGGTGTGTGCCACCACACCTATCTTCTTTTTATAAGAGCCATTCTAATTGTGGTGGGATGGCATCTCATTGTAGTTTTTATTTGCATTTCCCTGATGGCTATTGATATTTGAACATTTTTTCATATATTTGTTAACCACTTTTATTTTTTCTTTTGAGAAGTGTCTATTCAGATCATTTGCTCATCTTAAAATGTATTACTTTGATTTTTATTTATTTATTTATTTATTTTTCAGTTATATATTCTGGGTATTTACCTGCTGTCAGGTGAATAGTTGGCAGCTATTTCTCACATTCTATACGCTGTCTCTGTTCCGTTGGGTGTTTTCTTTGGTGTGAGACTTTAATTTTGATGTGATCATTTTGCTCTTACTTTCTGTGGTTTGGGGGTTCTATCCAGAAAACCATCACCTGTGCCAATGTCTTGGAATGTTTCCTCTATTTTTCTGCTGGTAGCTTCAGAGGTCAGGTCTTACATCTGGGTCTTTGGTCATCTAGAGTTGATTCCTGTGCAAACTGAGAGACGGGGCCCAGATCAGTCCTCACAGCAGCTCTTCGTTGGAGGAGTGCGGGGACTTGGTCCTGTCATCCTACATCCCTGAGTGCAGGGCATGTTTACCGTATCAAAGGCCCTCTCTCGGTACTTGGCCAGAGGATGGGATGGCCCTTTCCCCATTTGCAGGGTGTGATCGTGTAGAACAATCCACTGACCAGATTAAACCACTCAAAGTCCCCAGCCTGCCCCAAGTCTACAAGCCCCATGTTGTTTCTCAGTTACATAGTGGAAGTGTTACTGAGCCATCTTCCCTTCTCCAGGAGGCAGAACTGAGACTGGTGAAATTCTTGCCTGAGATTTTGGCCCTGCAAAGGGATCTGGTGAAACAATTCCAGAATGTTCCAGAAGATGAATACAGTACCATCAGGAGTTTTATTAGCAGTCACAGTTCAGGTATGACTGCTGTCTGCTCCAACAAAAGATAAGGACCATCCATGTTTGGTGGTACAAAAGGATCATTCAGGTTGGGGCAGAAGGCTGGGGCTTAGGTCCTAAGCTAGAATGTGAGGTAAAAAGGATGCCAAATCCCAGAGACATACTGAGAGCTGCTGCTGTGGCTAGAAACATCCCTGCCCCCCCCACCCCCCCCACACACACCCCCCTTCTCACACAACCTCAAACGTGAAATGCAGGTGTGCTGCTGATTGTGGGTAGGTAGCACGCCTTGTGGTCTGACCCTGGCCAGGGCACTGTTTCCAATGGGGACCTTACCAAGTGTCTTGCTCAATAGATGGGCTGAGGCAGCTGTTCCACAACAGGATCACCATCTTCCTGTCCACGTGGAATGCACTGAGGCGATCACTGGAGACCAACGGTAAGTGTCCTCCTCCACCTGGTTCTGCCAGCACCCTGCTGTATGCCTGGCAATGCAACCTGTGGACAGAGGTGCTGAGCTACGTGAACCAGTCTCTAACCTAACCCTCAGTCCTCTTGAATCTATAAATATGGAATCAGAAAGGAGTTGAGACCACTGAAAACTTAACAGTCAGGGTCCAGCTCTATGGAGGCAGCTGCCCACACTGCCTTCCTCCTACCCTACCTCCAGGCTGTGACCCAAATGCCCAAAGCGGAATCCCTCTGCTTAGAAATGACCCTGTCTTTTAAAGGTGAAATCAAGTTACCCAAAGAGTACTGCAGCTCCGACTTGGATTTGGACACAGATTTTAAGGTCATCCTGCCCCGGCGTCAGGGCCTGGGTCTCTGCTCAACTGCATTAGTCAGCTACTTGATTAACCTACACAATGAAATCATCCACACAGTGGAGAAGTTCTCCAAGGAAAACAACAGGTACTGTGCATCCCACCACCCCTGCCACCAAGCCTGGTTGCAGACTCCAGCCAGCAATAGCTCCCGTCCCCAGACCCTCTCAGCTTTCCTCCACAAACAAAGCCCAGTGTTTGCACATGGTTTTCACTTGCTCACACTATGAGGGCAGAAGCACATGCCCCATACCTGCCCCGGACACCAAGGGACATCTTCTGTCCCGCAGCTATTCCGTGGGTGCCTCTGAGGTCACTGACCTGCATGTCGTCAGCTACGAAGTGGAGCGGGACCTGATTCCACTGGTTCTCTCCAACTGCCAATACCAAGTGGAACAAGGCGGGAAGACCTCACAGGAGTTCGACCTGGAGAAGATCCAGCAGCAGATTAGCAGCCGCTTCCTCCAGGGCAAGCCCTTGCTGACCCTCAAGGTAGGCTGGGCGCTCTGCAATGACTGGCTTGTCAGGCATGAACAGTCCTTGTGGGTTTCAGGGAGAACAGACTGAGGGGACACCTAAGGTCTCCTCTGCATCGTCTCTTCCCCACTGGTGGTCTGCGGTCCCTGTACTTTCTCTGGGCTGGGAGGTGTCCCCAGCTGTCTTCCACATCCCCATCTACATATGTCCCCAGGGCAGCCTCAAGTCTCAGTGGACTGGGTGTCCACCACAGATAATGGCACCACCCAGAAGACCTGTCATTGCTGCCGTCCCTTCAGTTCACATGCAGCCCGTGCCCAGGAACCACCACCATGCCTTCCCCACACCCTTGTCCTGTAACTGCCACTGCCATGGCTTCAGTTCAGAGCACTCAGCCTTCAGACCAGCTGCCCAATGCTCCCTGCAGCACCATGCTATGTGGACAGTGCTACCTGGGCTCTACCGCACTCCCCTGGCTGGCACAGAAAGCCCGTCACCTGGCCCCAGACCAACCTTCAAGCTGTCTCCACCCCCTGCCTCACTTGCTGCTTCAAACCTGTGACCTGCCTCTTGACTCCCTGAACATGGTAGCACTTCCACACTGTCCCTGTCTGTGGCCGCACTCATCCTTTCGGGTCCAGTCAGGTGTCATACTCAGATTACTTATTCCCTCACTGCCCGCAATCAGGCTGTCAGTTGTTGGAGTCCAAAGCCATTTTTAATTCATCCTGACAGTGGCTGCCTTGTGCACGGTCTCTGCTCAGTGTTGCTGGAGAGCTCACCAATGTGCACATTCACATTCCTGCTCCTCCAACACTCTTGGGCTCTTGTGGTCCTCAGACACACTGGTCTACAGGGCAATATCTGCATGGCCGCTGTAGCCAGGCTGGACTTCTTACACTACTGTGTCCAAAGAGTGTGGCTTAAACAGAGCATTAGGAGGCAGCAAAGCTACATGCCTCGCCCAGGAATATACTGTCTGCCTTGGTCCTTCCTCTGAGTCACTGCTGAAGAATACATCTGCCATCACATGGAAGCCTCCACTATGAATTTAATTTCCAAAAGCTGTTTTTCTTTCTCACCTCAGGGGATACCTACGCTGGTGTACAGACATGACTGGAACTTCGAACATCTCTTCATGGGCATCAAGAACAAAATGGCACAGGTGGTCATGATAAGCCCTCACCTGCAGGGTGGTTCCATCCACATACATAAGGACAGTCTGGTCCCATCCTGGTGTCCACTGGGAGCACCAGGCTCTCTGGCTCCCAAAGGACCCCAGGGGCTCCAGAAGAGAGGCAAGCCGGTGGCAAACAGATCATAATACTTTCTGACGCCTTGGGGGTTGTTGTCTTGATGATGTCCTGACCAGGGTGCCACAGATCGAGAACTCAATTTCTCCTGCTCCTTAGGTTCTGCTGTCAACAGATGGAGAGGCTATTGTGCCTCTCCACGTCCTCACGGGGCCTTTGGAGGATTCAGTTAGCTCAGGCCTGTTCCTATGCAGTCTGTACACTGGCACACTCGGCAAGCACAGGGATCAGCTCTTACCACAAGTGCTGGACAGTTGGCCTGCCTGTGCCGGCAGCTCAGAGTTAGGCTCTTACCAAGTAGGAGAAGCAATAGCCTGACCCAAGCCTCTGTCCTGCTTTTGGTTTCAGAGCCCCCTCCCCAGCTCGGCCATAGGTGCCATCAGTGGACAACTGCAGTCCTACAGTGATGCCTGTGAAGCCCTGTCTGTTGTAGAGGTCACTCTGGGCTTTCTAGGCACAGCTGGTGGGGATCCAAATATGCATCTGAATGCGTACGTCCAAGATATCCTTCGGATGGGTGATCAAACGACTCCAGTTTTAGAGGTGGGTCCTGTGTGCCTTTCAAGGAGAATCAGCATCGCCTCACCTTAGTTTCCTGCAAGAATGCCACCACGCAGGGAGCACCCATGTAGATACTCCTGGAAAGGGGTGGTCAGGAACCCCCACCCCCAGTCAGTCTACAAAGTAGTGGCGCCAGGAGAGGCAGGGATGCCCAGTGCTGACCACCTACTAGAGCAGGATGCACAGGGGACTAAGGACATTGGCTGCCTGCTCACTGTGTGATGCTGAGACACGAGTTGCTACAGGAGGGGGAGACTCTTAGATATTTGGAAGACGAGACAGGTAGACTCTGGATGGAAAAGAGGTGGCCTAGTGACAGGAAATGGGCAAAACAGGGAGAAATGCCCTGGGTAGCACCAAGGGAGTCTGTGTGCCTTCACCTCCTACTCAAGACTCTTCCTCTTCCAGGCCTTAAGCAGGGGTCAGTTAAAACACGCTATTGCCCTCTGGCAGTTCCTCTCTGCTCATAAGTCGGAACAGCTGCTGCGACTGAAGAAAGTGAGTCTGCCCTGCCTCTGCCCAGATGGAGGGAGCCACACCCTTGTCCCAGGCTCTGATGTTGTGCTTGTTCATCTTCTTTAGGATCCCTTCCGGGAAATCAGTTCTATGTTCAAAGCCGACCTCAGCCCAGAAAGTGCTAAGCTCCTCAGCACCTTCCTGAATCACACAGACCTGGATGCTTTCCTCCTGGAGCTCCATGAAATGATGGTGTTGAAACTAAGGAACACCCAGACCCAGGACAGCTTCAACCCCGAATGGAGGTACGGTGTGCACCCTGCCAGCCAGCAGGTGTGCAGAACGCTTGCCCCTCCCGTTGACACAATGGTAGTTCTGTCTTACACAGGACCCTCGGTCTACTGTTCTCCATCACAAGAGCAACTAGGGGCTGGCTTCTTTGGTTTTAATCTTTTGGGGACTTTAAAAAAATAACTAAAAAATCATTTATTCTTATTACAAGTATACTTAACTATGTCAAAGAGATGCATTTTGGATTAGGAAGAAAAAGCCACAACAATGTATAAAGTCTAAAAATACCCAAAATTATCTAAAATTTTACATTTTTGTCAATCTAGTGGCCAAAAAATGGTATCTTGCTTTCATTTGTGTTTCCCTACCTACTTGTGTGGCTGGCACATTTTAAAATTTATCACCATTTTTCTGAATTATCTTTTGGTAGCTTTTGGTTACTGGGCAGGGCAGTTGATCTCTTTCTTTTTTATCATTTGGTACCAGGGATTAAATCCATGGGCACTTAACCACTGCGCTGCATCCCCAGCTTTTTATTTTTCATATTGAGACAGGGCCTCTATTGCTGAGGCTAGCATCAAATCTATAATCCTCCTACCTCAGTCTAACCAACTGCTAGGATTATAGGCATATGCCACCACACCTGACCAGCTTATCTCTCTTTTTTTTGAGGTTCATCACTTTGATGACATCCTAAAAGTAACGGGCCAGAGGGGCCTCTGGGCTCAGCAGCTGTGAAGAAGGAGGGGTCCCAAGTATACCCTAAGGCAGGACACTGCAAAAAGGCACTCATGAGGGGGGCTTCAAGCCCCTCTGAATACTTCTTCATATAAAATTGGGGTGAGGGGGCCCCAAGAGTAAGGGAGGCAAAGAGACCATCCCTCCTGGCCCATGAGTAAAAGAGACGGGGGAGGGGGGTGCTGGGAGCAGGAAACTTGCTAAGTCAGTGGCCTGCCCCCCCCCTCCCACACACACACCCCACCACACTTTCCAGCCCCTCTCTAAAATATGCAGTGGGGCCCTGAGGAGAGGGAGCCCTCATGTTCAAACCCCCCAATTCTCCCACCTAGCTGGTACGAAGTTGATAATTGCCACTCTGGGTGATATAATAAATCCAGGGCAGGGCCTGGTAACCGCTTTTCTCAATGATCTTCATGTAATGGACCTTGATGAGTTTCTCTTTCTTAATAGTTTGTAAAAGCTCTTTGTATAGAACAGATTAATCTTTGATCCACACATCATCTAGAAGTCAAATCTGATGGAGGAGTTTTACATAAAGCCTTGTGGGGCTGGGTTCAGTGGTACACGCCCATAATCCCGCAGCTTGGGAGGATGAATCAGGAAGATCATAAGTTCACAGCCAGCCTCAGCAACTTTGTAAAGCCCTAAACAACTCAGAGACCTTGTCTCTAAATAAGATATGAAAAAGGGTTGGGGATGTGGCTCAGATGGTAACGCACCCCTGGGTGCAATCCCCGGTATGAAAAAGAAAACAGAAAAAGCCACCATGGAGACATTCTCTGGAGGCTCTCCTTATCGCATCCTGGGGTGCTAAAGCAGCCTCACACTTTCTCCTGCTACCTTTATAGTTCTGTCTCACACGTCTGTTTCGTTAGTTCACTTTTAATGTGTGGTGTGAGGCAGGCATTTCACTTGACTAGTTTTCTGGATGGATAGTCAGGCTACACTGGCTGTGTGTGCCCTCAGGCCATATGGCACACGCCTGTGTACAACAGAGCTCCCCTTTCTAGAGAATCTGCCATGGGAGGGAATGCATGCCTTTTCTGAATGGCAAAGCCCCATTTCTGATGCAGCCAGAGAGGCTTGTCAGGGGAGTGCCTGAAGTGGCCCAGCTGGACATCCTTGAGGAAGCTAAGCCTTGGACTCCAGGTCCAGCTCAGGAACCTGACAGCTGGCTGACTTTAAGCTGACCCTCAGGGTTTCTGGTCTTAGTTAGCACTTCAGACCTGTCAATGCCTGGAAAGAGTGGCAGCTGGTGGGCTCCTGTAGCTCTAAACACTTTCTCTTTTCCTGACTTTGCAGCCTGAGGGACACTCTGGTGAGTTACATGGAAACTAAAGACAGTGACATTCTTCCGGAAGTGGAATCCCAGTTCCCAGAAGAGATCCTGCTGTCTAGCTGCGTGTCTGTGTGGAAAGCAGCAGCTGCACGGAAACAGGACCGGCAAGCAAGATAGGACTGTCCACTCTGTTTCTGGATACACTGCAGACAGGGCTCCCTCCCCTCTCTGTGCCTCTGGGGGCACCTGGGAGGAAAGTGTTGGCACAGCACTGAAGTCAAGGCCAGCACGTAGTGTGCCAGCTTACAGCTTTTTTGAAAGCCAAGCCATTTCTGGAACACATGCAGATTCCAGAATTCTCGTGTTATATATGAATACTGTTCAGTAAGTGGTGAGGATGGCAATTATTTGGAAAAGGAAATCACCTGCCACCCTGTGCATTTGAAGAACAGAAACGAAGGGGCACACCAGCAGAGACCTGTGTCGGGCCTGCAGCCTCTTCCTCCTACTGCCACACAGGCAGAACACAGGCGTGTTGGTCTTTTTTTCTACTCTATTCTATTCTGCGCACATAGAAGAGAATCTGTTTTTCTTTTCTCTTCCAGTCTCTGAAATTCTGCATACTGTGCCCATATTTCTTGGGTTCTAAGATGTGAAAACACCACTTTCATCTTCTCACTAACACAAGGAAAGCCAGGGTGTCCACACTTGCCTTAAGACCACATGAACAAACACCAACCAGACTGTGAGTCACTGCCAGATTCCAAAAGGTCAGAGCCAACAAATCTGTGACGAGCATGGGATTCAGGACATTGCTAGGGTTTTGGTTTCCCCATGAATAAAATGGAGTCTACTGTCAGTCAGAGCTCCTTCTGGTTTTTGTATCTTGAGCTTATAAATGAAGTTCATCAGAGGCAGCTCCTGGTGATGCCATGGGGAGTTCTTGGCTGTGGGTGTTGTACTATGTAAGCATGCAGTCTTGGTGCCAGGTCAGCTTCCCTGAGTATGTGAATTCCCAGTCCTTTCTTTGGATCTCTACCGCACCATAAAAACTGAGCCTCAGAGAGAGTACAAAACCAGTTCCGTTTCTGAAAAAGGGAAAATACTTGCCCTGATCTTGTGCTGCCTTTTTCATTGTAAGTTTTGTCTCCTTTTGAAACCTCTGGATGAATTCCTGTTCCTCACAGCTCAGGGCCCATTTGCAGTGGGATCAGGATACCAGCCATCCACACCTTGGAGGCCCTGTCTTTCATGTACATTCCAGATAAGTTAGGGATCCAATCAGGCCTGTACTTTTGAGCTACAGAAATGCAAGAGGGGTGAAGGGCACAGCTCAGTAGTGCTTGCCTCACGTTCACAAGGCACCTCCCTGTGCACACCTGCAAAGGCAGGCATAGAAGCAACTGCAGTTCCTCTCCATGAATGAGCCCCCAGCGTCTGCAGAAGGAAGTGCAGTGACGGACCTTGGGTAGTAGCTGCTTTCACAGAACATGTGCTTGCATTTAGTGAGCTGTGAACATTCCACTTTCCCTCCCACCACATCCCTGCCTAGCAGAACCAGAGCACTTGGCCTTGGGTGCCTGGGGGTCAGGGTGTAGCTTGCCAGGGCCAGCAGGTCCTCACTGCCACACCTTCACAGATAGAATCAGGTGTCAAGTCCTTGATGTGAAGACCCTTTTTCTCCCTTTGACCTGGGCATTTTTTTCTGTTATGTTTTATTTTAGATGCTATGCTTTCAAAGCCTTAACTGTCATATCTAGCATGATTTATACAAAAATACACTGGAGCAGAGGCAAAAGTAAATTTCATTATACTTGTAATGCTTTTTTAATAAACTTGATTTCTGTTGCTAAAGGATCCCTCTTTGTGGGCCATGCTACTGTGTACAGCATGTAGGCTGTGGGAATGGTTGTGGGTTTTTGTGGAAATGTCCTTGCAGAAGTATTTGTGAAGCAGTCAGTTCAGAACAGAAGGCCACTCTAGAACGTGAGATAGTAAACTTCCTCTGGACAGAATAACAGCAGAACAGCATGTCCGTAGTAGAAAAACCTTAAGCCTCATCCGGGGAGTGGAGGGTGTCCTCTGCTTAAAGGGACTTAAAACAGCAGAGCTCCAGCTACCAACTGCACCTTGATATGCTGCCAGAATGGGCCTGCAGAGTGCTCAGTGGGACAGAAACCCTGAGGCCTGGAGCTGGGTTCCAGTGGTTTGAGCAACAACTGGCACATGTTCTGCAGTTTTCTGACCCCTTCAAATTGATAAAGCCTATGCTCAAGCATTCAGAATCCCAGGTCCAGCTGGGAAGAAAAGGCACAAGTGCTTTCTCCTGAGTGAAAATACTAGCAAAACTCACACCTTCCCTGTAGGGACAAGAGCCTGCTTCCTTTTCAGCTGGTGGAAGTGTTTTAGAGAGCCAATTGGGGAGGGCCCTGCACGTGTAGACTGCCCCCACTGCTCTTGAGGCTGCTCCTGCTTGGGGGCTCCCTAGTCTGCTGCCTTTCCCTTCACGTGGACCCACCAAGGTCAGTATTCCTTCCTGATCACCACCTGTATCCCAAGGCACAATGGAACCTCAGCCCAGAGCACAGCCACCTCCTCAGAACCCTAAATCTAACGCAACCAGGCTGACACATCACAGCCCAAATGGACATGAGTATGGGTCTTGCCTCTCCTGTTTGCTCGCTCAATGACCATGGAAAAGCCATTTGATCTCTTTCAGCCTCCATTTTCTGACGTGCAAAATGCCTCCCAGTTCTGTAGTGAGAAATTAGAGTAGGACCTGGCATGGGGTGGGTGCTCAAGAAATGGGACACCCCCACTCCCCCAGGCGGGAACTTGCCCACTTTCAGGGCCCTGTCAGTTGTTGGTGCTACAGGAAGTCTTTCCCACACCTGAAACTAATTAGTCTAATCTAATGCAGTGTTCTGTATCGTCCTCTTGAAATCTATATTCACACTACATGACTAAGGCACACACTTTTCTATGTTCTCATAGAATATAAGGCACGGGTTAAACTGCTACGCTTCAGCCTCACTGGCTGCCGTTCCGTGCCTCAGGACCTTTACACCGCTGTTCCCTCCGCCTGGCCTGCGCTCTCCAACTCACCCTTCAGGTCCCTCCCAAACATCCTTCCCAACCACCAGGTCCAGGCCAGCGCCCGGGGTATCCGGGTCACTCCGCAATCACGGGCCGCAGCAGCTGCGCCATCTAGTCACCCAGCTTCCTGCCCCTGTGAAGCCCCTCGAGGTGTGCAGCCCCCGCACCTCGCACAGCGCCAGGCACTGGAGCACCGAGGACGCGTTCCTCCCACCCAGGACGGGCCGGCCCACGTGGAACCGGACGTGCATGCCGCGCTCGCGCGCTCCCTCGTTTCCCTGCGCTGGAAACGGTCCTGCGATCCGCGCGACCCCGGCCGACTCCTGCCGCGGCGGCCTCTCGGCCTGCGCGGCGCGCCGGAAGTGACGTCGCCGGAAGCGCCGGGCCCGAGCCATGGCCCCGGAGGCCGCGGGGCGGCCGCCGGAGGAGACGCTGTCGCTGTGGAAACGGTAAGCGGTGGCGCGCCGCGGCCGGGGCGGGGGCTGCGCGGCGCTCGCGGGCCCTGCGGCCTCGGGACCCGGCGGCGGGACGGCGGGGCCCGCGCCCGGCCGGGCTGACCCCTCTGTCCTCCCAGGGAGCAGGACCGGCTGAAGGCTCTCCTGGTGGACCGCGACACGGAGGCGTGGCAGCGGGACCCCGCCTTCTCGGGTCTGCAGAGGGTCGGCGGCGTGGACGTGTCCTTCGTGAAAGGGGACAGTGTCAGCGCCTGTGCCTCCCTGGTGGTGCTCAGCTTCCCCGAGCTCGAGGTAACCTGGAGGGACCGCGGGCTGAAGGCGGGAGCGGACTGGTGGCCTTTCCTCTGTCCTTTTCTCCTCCTCGGCGGTGTGGGGTGAGCCAGGCCCTGGCACAGGCCAGGACAGCCCTACTCCCCAGCCCGCTGTCGTAGGATTCCAGTGACCGGCGAGAGGCGTTGGAGGGGAAGCAGAAAGAGAGAGGCTGAGGGCTTTCTGTGGCCGGTAGGGACCGCCCGTGGTCTGGACCTCCGAGCCTGGCCGGCTTCAGTGACCGGCAGCACACACCCAGAGCTGCCCAAGCAGCCGTCCCTTCCTGGACTCCCCTTCCCCTCACATCCTGGCGGATGTCAGCTGGCATTTTCAGCTTCTTCAGTCTTGCGGGGATCTGGCCCCTTGCCTGCCTCCCCTTGGCCCCTACCCTGTCTGTGCTGCCATCTCTGCTCCTGTAGGTTTCTGAGCCGAATTTTCATGGGCTCCCCACCCCAAGTCTTGCTCCTTGGTGCCTAAGTGATTTCCTTTAAAAATAAGAAATTAAAAAGATAAAGTCTATCATTGTCACCATGAGTTCTTTTAACAGCACTTCTGTGTCCTTCCTGGGGCCTCAAGATAAATCAAGTTCGCGCTTGATAGTGGCTTGAAGGCCCTTTGTGATCTTTTCTCTGCTTGAGATGACCTGTAGGCTGGGTTCCCACCATTGTTATCCTCCCCACTCCCCACTCCCCACACCACACCTCTCAGGACAGCATTGCTCCCTCGCAGACTGTGCCACCTGGCCTTTCCAGGCACACTTCCTCTCCTGGCATAGTCTAGAGAATGTGTGTGTAGTAGGACTCTTGGACTTCCAGCCTCCAGAACTGAGAGAAATAAATCTTTGTTGTTTATAAGGCACCCAGTCTGAGGTATTGTGCTATAGCAGCCCAAATGGACTAAGACAAGGGTGCAGGGGCCACTCCTGGACTCGTGGGGTCAGGGGCTCTCTGGGTCCTAATAGGGAAGTGGGAGCTGGCTAGGTGAAGACTATGCACCATCATCCACCATCATCCTATGGGGACACAGGATGCACCTTGTGTCCCTGTGGAAGGTCATCTGTAGGCTTCAGCCATCCATCCTGCTTGGGTTCATTAAGAATCAGTTTCTCTTGTTTACCATTAGAGTGGACCTACCCCACTTTGAGTCATTCGTAGGTAAGTTTCTTACTGAGTTACTGATAAAAAGGCCAAGAGACAAGTCCCAGACTTCCAGACTAACACAGAAGAATCAGTTCTCTTAGGTGTGTTTAGTAGAAACTAATTTGGGAGCTATCATCAAGACATCTGGAGGATTCAGTAACAAAAATGGGGGTGTGTCCCCATAGGATGATGGTGGCTGCTTAATTAGAATTTCTTCACACAAGCTCCAAAAACCAGATAGAGCAACAAGAAAGGAAAGCCCCTTTTTGTTTCCCAAGCCCAGGACATAAGATGAGCCTATCAGAGATGTCACTGTGCCCCCTGGTGGGGAATGAAACTCACCAGGCTACAGAGTAACTCAGGCTGGGGAGACTCCGCCCTCAAGTGCTCTAGGCAGAGGCTGACCTACAGGCCCGGTGAGGTGATAACCAGCAACCCTCTTCCCTGTGGGGCAGGGTCTTTTGGGTTTGAAACAGTCTCTTTGCCAGAGAAGCCTAAGAAAAGGAGTTAACTTTAAAAGCTCTCTGGGTTGTTCCCAGCCATTCAGGAAGCCCAGGTCCTCTGGGCCCTCTGTCCTCCTCACCTCTTGGCAGTGTGTGCAAGGTCTTCAGTCAGTTCTTCTGCTGTCCCCGTAGCTCCACCCAGTGTGCACTCCCCTCCTCCCTCAGTGTCTCTAAATTCTCCTGTCTCTGGAGACACCGGTTCTCTTAGATTTCCTAGCTCTGAGGGCATGCCCGCCTTTCTAGATGATTAGAGGTCTTTTCATAAAGCCAGTGTGGCAGCCGTACTGTCCCAGTCTCTAGGAGACCTGGCTTTCCCGTCCCTCCCAGTATCCACAGGATGCTGCCTTCATGCTAGTGCCTTCCTGTGCCTTGTCTCTGAGCCTCCAGCGGCCCATGCAGGTGGTGGAGTCAGCGTTGACTTACAAGGAGGCCCAGAAGGGCAAGGGGCACCCAGGGGTGGGGCTAGTCACCACCCTTAGAAGAGCTCTTGGGAAGAGGGGCCAGGGGTCCTCAAACTCACCAGGTCTGGATGAGCACTCAATCCCCACCACCATTTTCACCATTTTCAGGGAAGGTTATCTTGTCCCTTCCTTCAAACCTATTGTCTTGCATGTCCCACCCATAGGTGGGGCAGGGAAGGGAGCAGTGGGTGGGGCAGAGAGGGAAGGTTGGTTGTTGGCAGTTAATTTCAGGGCAATAAGGCAGAGAAAATGAAGGGAGGAAGCAGGTGGCCTCAGGCCCTACTGACCTGCATGCCTGGTGGCAGGTGGTGTATGAAGAGAGCCGAATGGTCAGCCTGACGGCCCCCTACGTGGCAGGCTTCCTGGCCTTCCGAGAGGTGCCCTTCCTGGTGGATTTGGTGCAGCAACTACAGGAGAAGGAGCCGGGCCTCATGCCTCAGGCAAGTGACCCATCCCAGGGGCAGGAAAGTCGCCCCTCTGCTTCTGCCTGGGGGAGGGAAGGCCCCCGGCAAGCCACCACCACCATAGCCAAAAAAGATGATTTTCAAAACAGCTGGACCTCTGTGGCAGTTCCCCTTCCTGCAGCTCCAGGAACATCCCAATCTGAGGAGTGAGGGTCAGCTTAGCTGACTGTGACTCCCCTGTGGCTCTGCAGGTCCTTCTTGTGGATGGAAATGGGGTGCTTCACCACCGAGGTAATCCTGTTCCCAAAAGAGAAGGTCAGGGTGGGTGCTGGGAGAGACTGGGAGAGGGTACTTCCCACCCCACAGCAAGAGCATCTGCTGCCAGCCAGGCACTGATGGCTGCTTTCTGGGCTTGTTTTCACCATCAGGACAGATCCCCACCCAGAGAAGAGCTCCCCTTTCACCCCACCCTCACTGCTACCCTCCTCTTCCCCACAGTACCCTACGCAGGCCCCTCTCCAGGACCCTGGTCTAGTGCCAGCCTATCCCCTGTGAAAAGTCATGGGTCTGAGCTCAGGGCACCCCCACCCTCACTACTATCCCCAAGCTGGACAGTCAGGCCTCTGTCTAGAATCAGACGGGAGTGGCATTTCCTATAGATGAAGGGACCTTGGCCCAGGAGAGTGCTGAGGTTGATGGTCATCCTGGCCCAAAGCCAAAGGGTAAATGCATGCTGACCTGGATGCTAGTGCTGGGACCAGCTGGCTGCTCCAGGGCACGGCACAGGCCATGGGAAGATATGCAGAGGCCTTAGGGCAGCAGCAAAGGGAGAGGAGGAAGGAAGTTGCCAGAAAATAAAAGGAAGCAGAGGGTGAAGTGTTGTGAGCATGCTGATCAGGCTACTGGGCCTGCCAGGCAGGAGGCCTCCCCTGCCCCAACCTCACCCAGGACGTCTTGGAGTCTGGTCCCTGAGTGCTCTACTGGTCTGCAGAGGGTGTGGTTCTGTTCATCCCTCACCCTGCACCCATCTCCAGGCTGCGTGGCTTACTCCTGCCCAACCCCATTGCCCCAGTTCACCCTCCTCTGCCCCCTGCCAGGCTTCGGGGTGGCCTGCCACCTTGGCGTCCTCACAGAGCTGCCCTGCATTGGGGTGGCCAAGAAACTCCTGCAGGTGGATGGGCTGGAGAACAATGCCCTGCACAAGGAGAAGGTAAGGAGGCCTAGACAGCCTGGGCTCAGCCAGCAGGTGCTGGAGCGGCCCTGGGGATGGGAAGGACAGGTCAGCTACCTCCCAGACACCTCTGTGTCCCTGGATCCTGGCCCAGAGTAAAGCAGGTCTGGTGTTCTCTGGCTGCCTCCCAGCCTGTGGCTTGCAATCCCTGGGGCTCCTGGACTCCTCCCCCTTCTAGGACTGCCTCTTCTGTCTCCACCTCTGGGCTGCTGCCACACGCCTATAGGTTACTGTAGGTCATGTCCTCCAGTCACACACACACACACACACACACACACACACCTCCCAGTCGCCTGTCCCCCAGGGTGCTCACATAGCTCAGCCTCCAGGCCCTGCTCACGGTGCGCCCGTGCTCTGGGCCACTGCTGCTGCCTGTGACTGCATCCACACCCTTTCTCATCCCTGCATCTCCCTTCTCTGGCTCCACAGCCTGCACTGAGGAGGTGACGTTAACATTTTGGCTTTCCCACTGGACACCAAATTCCAAGAGCAGAGACCCTATCTGTCCTTTCCTCCGGCTCAGGCACTGTGTGGAGCACTCGCTCCATAAACATCTGTGAAGTGGGTGGGGGTCCATCCTCTTCCCTGCAAAGGAAAGTGTGGAGGTGGCCTACACGTGCCCAAGTTCCTAGTAGGAAAGGAAGCAGGAGGAAGGCAGAAACTCAGTCCTGGCCACAGCCTGCTGCCAGGGTGGCCCTGTGTGCCCTGGCCCCTCCTTTGCTTACCAGGGCGCTGGTCCCAGCTGAGCTGCTGCCCATCTCAAAGTCCTTGTTTTCAAGTCAGATGGGGTCCTTGGGCACACTGAGGGCTGTCTCAGCAGATGGCTTTGCTCGGGTACAGTATTCATTCAAGAAAGGGCCCTTCCCTGGCTGTGACTATGTTTTTTTTTGGGGGGGGGGGGGGGGGTTTGCTACTGGGGATTGAATTCAGGGGCACTCGACCACTGAGCCACATCTCCAGCCCTGTTTTGTATTTTATTAGAGACAGGGTCTCACTGAGGTGCTTAGTGCCTTGCTGTTGCTGAGGCTGGCTTTAAACTTATGATCCTCTTGCCCCAGCCTCCTGAGCCACTGGGATTATAGGCGTGCATCACTGCACCCAGCTCTGACTGGGTTTTAAACAGGAAGAGGCTTGCCTCAGCCCTTCACCAAGAAAAGACATTTTTTGCAAGCTTTCTCCCCCTTTTCCAGATCCGGCTCCTGCAGGCTGGAGGAGATACATTTCCTCTGATGGGAGGCTCTGGAACTGTCCTGGGAATGGTGAGTGGCCCGGGCCTTGGCCCTGCTCTGGAGATTAGGGCAGTGTATGCACTCGCACACATGCACCTCAGGCTCCTCGATGCCAGCACTTGTCCACCCTGCCCTGGGACAGGCAGCGGGAAGGAGCCTAGGGGATGGGAGTCCAAGAGCTCCCTGCTGCCACCCAGGATCTCCTCAGTGCCTCTAGCCCCTGCGGCTGGCCTGGACCAGGGGCACGTGTCCTCGTAGCTCTCTGACCTCCCTTCCATGCTTAGGCCCTGAAGAGCCACAGCCACAGCATCAAGCCTCTCTACATCTCCGTGGGCCACAAGATAAGCCTGGAGGCAGCCGTGCGCCTGACCCAATGCTGCTGCAGGTTCCGGATCCCAGAGCCTGTGCGCCAGGTGGGGTCCAGCGCATGCCCCTCTACTTCTCACCACTTGTCAGCTCAGCTGGGGTCACACAGTAGTGGTTTGAGGACCAGATGGCCCTGGGCTGAGGGCAGGTCCGTGGGCTCCTTGCTGGGGAGCCTAGTGTGGACTTATTGGGCCCTGGAGGCAGGAGGGTGGACAAGAGGATGCAGAGTTCCCAGGAATTCTTCCCGAGACCACCTACCTATGCCTCAGAGGCCACTGTGCCCAACACTCAGCTTCTCCCTCACTTGAGCCTCCTGTCCCCAGGCACCAGGTTGTTTGGAGGATCAGTTGATGTCAGCTCTGATATCAGAGTGCTCCACCAGACCCCAGTCAGAAGCCCAGAAGAAGCAGCCCTTGCTGGAGGCCCTTGCAGGAACATTGGGGGAGGGGATGAGGAAGGCTTATGCTAATCAGGAACTCCAGGTGTGGCTACACCAGGTACCCAGCACCTAAACTGGTGCTCAGGGGTCAGGATATTAGCACTGAGATGAGCCAGTTGGCTCAGCTGAGAAGGAATCAAACCTGCAGCTGAGCCCAGGATGCCCACAGCTCACCTTCACCTTCAATCATGATGGGGGAACACCAGTCACATGCCAGTATGTGTTCCACAGAAGCCATAAGGAGAAGCTGTCCTCAGGAAGGGCATTCCTGGCTCAGGAATGGCATTTGCAAAGGCCCTGGGGCAGGAAGGAGTTTGATGTGCACAAGCAGCTCAGCCAGAACAGGGAGGGGTAAAGCAACCAGTAGCCAGTTGGTGTCTTGAGCTTTCAGATTGTAGACCTCATCTGCAGGGACTAGGCAACCAATGTGCAGGATGTTCAGATCTGCCATTTGGGGCAGCAGCTCCCTGTGTGCTACCAGGCCTCTGGGAGGAGCTGGGGCATGGTCTGCACCTGAGACCCTGCCTTCCACAGCCCAGCCCTGGAGATTCTGCTGGGTGGATGGAGGCAGCCACCCAGCAGAGGCCCCAAGCTTGTGGAGAGTGGACCTCATCCTGCCTCCGCCTGGTTACAAGAGTGCAGGATGGCCTCCAGGTGGCAGCAGCAGCCTGCACACCACCATGGCTGTGCTCCTGGGGCGTTTGTGCCAAGAGGTGTCTTGTGGGCGTCCACTAGCAAGAGCCTTGCTCTCTCTCCATCCAGGTTGTCACTGGGGTCTTAGGCACATGGGCTGTCAAACCTGTGAGTGTCCCCAGCCCCAAGAGGCCTTTCCTCTTCCATTCTTTCCTAGTGGCCTAATGAGAAAAAAATCCAGGAGATTGTGTCAGAGGTCCTCAGCCCTGGACCTCTGGGTTGTGTATCCCAGACCTGCTGGGCAGGCCTCTGCCCTCTTCTCAGCTTACCGGAGTGGCTCCCTCTTCTTACAGTTGGGGGGGTCAGCCACCTGAAAAGGACTTTGACTACCTAGGAATAGGATCATGTGCCTCTAGCTGGAGAAGAGCCCCCACCAAGTCTTGAACCCACACTTCAGAGAAGAGCCACCTGTCCCCAGAAGCCCATGGTCCCTGCGCCTGCTGGGACGGGTGAGGGTCCCAGACCTGCCATTTTCTTCCTGGGCCACTGGCCTCAGCACCCTCCAGAAGCTCCTGTGTGTGGGATGGGTGTGGTCTCAGTCTCCCTCCCTGGTCGTAGATGCTGGTGCACCGCCTGTGTCAAGTGCAGACACTCCTGCCACGCAGGGCTGCTGCCGCCCACTGCCCACCCTGACCCACTTCCCCCACTAACTGAAGCAGGACCATCTGGGGATTAGCTGCTGCCACCCATGAGTCACGTGGCCCCAAAGCTAAGCTAAACCCGTCTGAGCCAGGATCAGGGGGGCTTCTTGAGGCCAGGGTCCCACTTGGGACTGAGCCCTGTCACATATCCCTCCCCACTAGGGTCTGTCCCAGTCTCTGCCTAGGCCCCACAGCTCCCTCTCCCTCTGGTAACCTGGCTGAGCTTTCTAGAGACGGCAGGAGCTGGAAGGAGAGAGCTGAGCGGCGTCTCCAGGGAAGCCAGGCAGAGCTGCTCCCGTGGGGACCCCAGGACCCTCCTCCCCTGGTTCAGGGCCTCAACACTGAGGCTTTTGGAATCCCTGTCACCCACACACCAGGGCCTGCTCGTCCTGATTCCCAGAAGGCTGGTCCTGAGGAGGACTCTCTGTGGGAGGTGTGGGGGTGTCCCTAGGCTGTTGGGCAGGAACGATGTGTCCAGAGTCTGGCTCAGAATCAGCCAGCACCTCACTGAGCTGTCTCCTCCAGGCTGACATCCGCTCTCGAGAACACATTCGCAGGACTCTGGGACACCTCAGGCCATCTGAACCAGGGCGAGCGAGGTGAGCACCAGGAAAGGCTCATGCTGCCCACAGGTGGAGGCTTGCAGTGGCCCAGCCTCTCCCTGCTTCAGTGTTGTGGCTTGGGACTGGCCAGGAACCCAGAAGAGATCCCAAAGGGGGAGGAGAGTGAGACAGACTCCTGGCTTGGAGGGAACTCTCTGGAAACATCAGGCCCAAGGCCTGTCTCCCAGCAGGGCTATCCCAGCTTCTCATGGCCCGGTTTCCACAGAAATGGCATGGCCCCTGGAAGGCCTACACAGACAGCTACATCACAGGAACCCTGGCCCTCAGTTTCCACCTCTAGAGGCAGCACAGTAGTTCTTGTGCTAGGGGTCGGAGCGCAGGCCTGTCGTGAGCACTGTGGGCAGGTAGCAAAGCCTGGCGGCAGTCTCACCAGGAGGCAGGTACTCAGTCACGCTGTTAGGTGGAGCAAGGTGAGGCCCAGGGTGTTGCTAAGCAGCAATGCAGGCCGCAGTGGCATCCTGGGTTCGGGGCCTGCCTCTGGCACTTCTCCCTCCCCAAAGGAAGACTGTGAGGTGCCCAAGCCTGGCAGCACCGAGCACTCGGGAGCTGTGCCTCCTCTGTGCCCGTCTCCCCCCTGCCCTCGTTTCCTGGAGGCTGTTCCTAGGCCTTGCTAAGCTGCTTTGAGAACTGAGAGATGGGCCGCTGGACTGCTCAGTTCCATAGTCGGGGCTGGCCAGCCTGAGTGCCGTGGGCCTTCCAGGGGCCACTCAGGGTCTTCCGGGCTGGCTGTGGCATTTGATGATGGCCCTTTCTCCATGTCATTACCAGGAGTCAGAAGGCACATTGTCCAAAGGCATGCCCCAAAGGGGGCCCAGGAGAGCCTACAGACCCCTCAGGACCACAGCAGAGGCCCCAGGACAGACTTAGAGGCTCCCAGGAGCAGCAGAGCCGGTTCTGGAGTGGAGGAGACGAGGTGCCATGAGCACTCGGGCTGCTGGCTTCCCACTCCCGCCTCAGGACAGTAGCTGTGGGGACCTCACCTAACCACAGGTATAGGCGCAGACCCTGGACACACCCCTGGAACAGCCAGCTGATGGCCAAGCACAGCCCAGCTTGGTCAATGACAGCCCACTCTCTCTAGCACTGGCTGGTGGGTGTGGCCACAATACCCAAATAGGACAGACCTTCCCAGGGTCAGTCCCAAACCAGAAAGTGCCTGCGATTATCCTCCTAGAGCACAGGGGGAGGATTTGGGTTCCCGTGCCCGGTGGCCCAGGCTGTGCCAGCACCATGGCTCTCCTGCCCCGTCCACTCCTCTGAATACAGACCTGCCTCCACCTGCTCTGTCTTTTCTTTCAGGGTTCGTTTTTAACTGGTGCCCCTCCAGCCATAGTGGGCCACAGAGGGGATCCACACTGGTGTGGCCATGCTTCAGCTCCCACAAGTGTCCTCACTCTGAATCGAAGCCAAGGGTGGGCACAGGCACCTAGGGTTTCAGAGGATTCCAAACAGGAAGCCAGTTGAGGCCCATGCCCACCTCTGGAGAGCCAGGATGCTCTTGCCATCCCCACCCAGAGGCATATCCTCAAGCCCCGTCTCCACTGTGGGAAGGCAGCTCATTCCCAGACCCATCTGGCCACTTCCTCTCTTGGCATGGGCTTGGAGTGGCAACTGAGAGGAAGGGCGCAGTGGGTGGCACCTGCAGCCTGCCTCATCCCCGGTCTTTCATGTGCCAGTTTGCTCCCAGAGTGGAGAGGACAGGGTAGAGGGCTGGCTGCCAGATCCCGTGGGTCCCTTTCCCTAGTTCCAGATCAGGTTGGAGGAAGGTGGCCAGCAATGGAGAAGAGGAGGCGGGGGGTCGTCCTTAAAGAAATGGAGGATGGTGGGACATCATGACCCTGAAACACCCCTGTCTATTCCCAAGCCATGTTACGCCCAGACCAGAATGTCCAGGTAAATGCCATCCTGAGGGACACTGACTCTCATACGTGGTACGTGGGCAGACTAGCGTTACAGTAAGAGCTGCCTTCCTGCACACACACCAGGCCTGCTGCTTCTTGGGATGCTGATCATGCAATGGAGCACTCTAATGATGTCACTGCTGCGGCCTGACTGGCAAACCCTCCTCCCTGGGTGACTGCCCTGGTGTTGGGGGCACCATGGAGATGACAAGTTCCTCTTGTCCAGCCAGCTACCATTGGACAAGGTGTGGAAAGGGATGGAGACACAGGAGGTTCACTGTGAGGGACAGGTACCACCTGTCCAGCCTGCTGCCTTGGGCCTTCCCCATGAGCAGCTTTCAATAGACTGATGTCACCAGGTGCAGTGGCACATACCTATAATCCCAGTGGCTCGGGAGGCTGAGATGGGAGAATTGTGAGTTCAAAGCCAGCCTCAGCAAAAGTGTGGTGCTAAGCAAGTCAGTGAGACCCTGTCCCTAAATAAAATACTAAATGGGGCTGGGGATGTGGCTCAATGGTAAAACACCCCTGGGTTAAATCCCTGGTACCAAAATAAAAATTAAAAAATACACTCGTGTCTTGCACACCATCTGTGGGTATTTCCTAGGGTCTCTAGGCAACCTGACCCAGTGCCTTTAGTGCAGCTGGGCTGTGGGCCAAACAGGAGGGCAGCAGGGAAAGAGACTCAGGCACAGGCTGGGGGTGACGGGTTCCTGCTGAGCCCAAGGGACAGCCCATTACGTCCTATCCAGATGAAGTCAAGCTGCCAGGCCCCTACGCAAGCCAGCTTGCAGTGGGTGTTGAGGACCCCCCTGGGGTGGGTCTACAGCAGCCTCTGATAGCTGAGCACCAGCTCCCACTTGGAACCTGTTTTCCTCATCAGGTTTGGGGCATTAGATGGCAGGTACGTACCAAGTCTCAGACACAGGAAATCTCCAGCAAGTGAAGTGTGGATGAGTCCCAGGCTGGTCCCAGGAACAAGATGGTAGGTGGAGGGTGGCGCCTGCCCACTGAGCACCTGTGCACAGGTCAGCCTCCTGGCCAGGACCCCTGTGTAGTCCTGTCCAGGGTTTGAGGATAACAGGGCCATAGTGGAAGCCCCCAGGGCTGTCCCCCTAAAATTTCATGTCACTTCCCCAAGCAGACCTGGGAAAGGCTCTCCAGGAGACACATGACTGCCACAGCCCATGCAGGCACTGCATACAAGGAGAGCCAGAATCAAGGAGGCGTTCTCACCCAAGCCCAGGGATAGGCACACCTTTGGGGGCCCCTTCCCACTGAGGATGGGAGAGGCTTGCCTGGCCCTTAGGGAGAGAATGCACCTAAATCAGCAGCAGCGGGGGCGGAGCCAGTCAGGGAGCTAGGGGGACTCCAGGGGATCTGAGCAGGGGTGACTAGCTGCCAAAGACCCCAGCGTGCTCCTAGGAAAGCTGCCACGTTATTCCACCCACCTGCTGAGGTAGAGGGCCTGAGCTGAGGCCTAGGACCCCTGCCAGGGTGCCCCAGGCCATCAGGGTCCCCAGGAGGCACAGCCCTGGCCGGCTACCCACCACACCCCTGACATGCACTCACCCTGTACTCCCTGGCCCTACCACCCACCCTCCCAGCTTCTTACAGATTTCTTTAAATTTATTTTTTTAGTCGTAGTTGGACACAACACCTTTATTTTACTTATTTATTTTTATGTGGTGCTGAGGATAGAACCCAGGGCCTCACACGTGCTAGGCAAGTGCTCTGCCACTGAGCCACAACCCCAGCCCTTCTTCCAGATTTTTCCCTACCAGAGGTCCATCAGGAACCACGGTCAGAGAGATTGGAAGCACAAGGTTGAAGCTGAGGAATGGACTGCCTCACTAGTGCCTTGGGCACAGCACAGATGTCAGGAGGGAACGATACCTGTTCCGCCTTCCCTGGGACTGGGAAGACCGCAGGCAGGGGAACTAAGGGTTGGCTCAGGCCTGGCGCATGGTGATTCCAGTGAGGAAGGCTGTTTTTGGAGAAGCAGGGTCCACAGAGGCCAGAGGTAATGGCTGTCTAGCCAGCAGCCCACAGGTAGGGACAGTGGGGCAGACCCCTCTCATGGGGCTGCAAGAGTAACGCTCAAGGGCACAAACAGAAGCAGCAGGGTGCAGGCTTGGTTGGGGCTGGGGCCAGGGCTGGGTGGGCAGCCAGACACCACGCCTGAGCAGAGGGCGGGTGGGGGCTAAGTGCAGTGGCGTCTGGGCTCCTTCCCGCAGAGCCTTAAAAATAGGCCGCAGTGATGTCCATCTCAGCAGACCACAGCTCTTCAGTGCTAAGAATATTTTTGAACCTCTTAATAATTGAAGTCAGATCCAAATAGACTTTCCAGTTCACCTGCCGGCCTCTGTGCCCCTTCCCCGCCCCCCAAACTGCCTAGTGACTGGAAAGGGGTGGCTTCCAGCAGTGGGTTGGCCTGGCTGCTGGCTCTCACCCAGGACCCCTCAGGGCTGGAGTGACCAGTAGGATCTGTCCAAGGCCAGCCCCAGTCCACCCGTACCAGACACTGGGCCCCTTGGTCCCTTCTTCAACATCTCACTAGAGCCATGGGCCCCAGGGCCAGCTCAGGCTGCAGGGGCACCAATCTGCCCCTTAGATCCCAGCGACTGTGCACGCACCCAGAAGAGAGCTGACGGGGCTTTGCCTGGAGCTCTGTGTCTGGTGGGGACAGCTGTGTGCAGGTTCCAATGCAGGCTCCTGCCCTGCGTGCTGCTTGTTTGGGGAGCACGAGGGGCCGGCTGCTCCCTCCCCTCCAGGCGCAGTGCCCCAGCTGCAGACACCCCTCTCCTACCCAAGGCAGCCTGGTCTCGGGTCCCTCAGAGAGGTGAGGAACTTGGGGTGCCACCAAGGGCCTGCGTGAGGTGGGTCTCTCCAGCCTGGCCCACCCGCCCCAGCAGCAGCCCCAGCAGCCCCAGCAGCCCAGTGGTCCCACTGCTCTCCCCTGGCCAGGGCCCTCATGGAGTTTTGCCCATTACTAATAACAGCAGAGGCGGCTGTGCTGGCATGCGGGTGAGTGGCAGGTGGGTGGTGGGCGAGGAGCGTGGAAGGATGGTACAGTCTGCTCCCCGCCCCAGCCAAGGGACCAAGCCCTTCAGCCTCCACACCCCCTGCAGGCCAGTGAGGGCTGGTGGTGTTCTGCCTGCCTACCCTCTGGCTTCCTCCCTTTCTCAGGCTCCTCCCACCTTGCAGAGGGCAGCTCCAGGTGGTGGCAGGCCAGGGGTGCAAGCTGAGGACCAGGACAGAGCAGAAAGACCCAGGGCACCTGCAGGAGGAGAAGGAGGACACTGGGGGGCCCAGGCCCAGGAAGAGGCCTGGCTTCCTGGGCTCCTGCCCAGGCTGCAGGGAGCTGGGTGTGGCGGGAGGTTGGGTGCTTTGTTTTTGTTTGGTTTTGTTTTTGGTGATTCACATTTCTTTTGTTATTTCCTAAACAAAGTGTGCACAGTTTGGAAGCTCAGCTCGTTCTGCAGGGCTTGGGATGGAACCCAGGCCGTTTCGCAGCCCCCTGCTCCCCCTGGTGTTTCGGCTGCTCTTTCAGCATTTACTTCTGAATAGCAATGTTACTGCTGCTGTTCCCTTTACTTTTCAGATTTAGAAATTACCAATCAATATTCCGCTGTGGGGATTGAAAGTTTGTTCTCTCATGGAGCCCAGATGCACATGTGTAAGCACTTTTGGAGCCCAGATGCGTGCGCGCACGCATACACACACACACACACACACACACACGTGCACACCACCCGCTTCCTGCTTCCTCCTGTCCCCAGGGATCAGGATTCAGCATGTGCAAGATGTTTCTTTGCAGACTGGGGTTGTGGCTTGGTGGTAGAGTGCTTGCCTGGCCTAGCATGCATGAGGCACTAGGTTGGATTCCCAGCACCACATAAAAAAACTAGATAAACATAATAAAGCTATTGTGCCCATCGACAACTGGAAAAAAAAAAAAAAGATGTTTCTTTGCTTACGCTGGTCACTGCTGAGGAACATGTTGTAATTACACCTCTGCACAATCTCTTGTGTTTCCTGGACTGAATAATTGCCTCATTTGGTGGTGGTGGGGGGCGTGTTTTCTATGTGCCCATGACTTATTTATCCCCAAACTCTGCCATGGAATAAATGGAACATGAATCTCTTTGGTACTGAGAACATTAGGCCATCTATGTGCTTATTTTTTCTGGAGTTTGTGGTAGCCAGTCTTCAAGATGGCCCAGTGATCTGCCCTCCTGGCACTGGTGTCCTGGTCCTATTGAGTGTCACAGGGTGGGTCTGTATGAGCAACGGAGGGAGGCGGCAGAAGCCATGGCTCGCTCCCTGGCTCCAGGTTAGGTTCCGGGGCACTCTGACTCTTCCTCGGTGGTGTCTCTGTGTCTCCTCTCTCTCCTCTGTCACTCTTTTCCTGTCTCTCTCTCCCTGTCCCTCTCCTCTTTCTCTCTCTCCCTATCTCTGTCTCTCTCCTCTTTATCTCCCCTCCTATCCTCTCCCTGTCTCTCTTTCTCTCTCCCTGTCCCTCTCCTCTTTCTCTCTCCTCTTTTTCTTCCTTCCTCTGTCTTTATCTCCCCCTTTCTCCTTCTCCTCGTCTTTCTCTACTGCTTCCTTTCTCGCTGTCTCTTCCCTCATTCTCGTCCTTTGCCTCCTTCCCCCCTTCTTGGTATTTGCTTTGAGGGAGGTCTCCTGCCCCATCATAAGCTGCTCTGTGAATGGGTCCACTTGGCTAGGCGCGCAAGCGTCCTGCCATTAGCCATGCAAGGGTGCCATTTTGGAAGTGGTCCTCCAACCCCATAGAGACTTGGGAGGATGGCGCCCCAACTGTCTTCTGGACTTCAAGCAACCTCATGACACCCAGAGCCAGAGTCCTCCACCATTCTGCTTCCAGATTCCTGTCCCCCAGAAACTGCCATAGTAACTCTTGTTCCTGGGATAACTTGTTACACAGCAAGAGCCATTCTTCCTCAGGCACCTCAGTAACCTTCAAACCTCAGCACCATCTACCATCAGGACCCCTCCAGCCCGGGAAGTCCTTCCATCCACTTCCTGGTGGCACCCCTCCTTCCCACATCCCACACAGCCCTGTGATTTGGACAGCTCCCTGGTTTAATACTGAGAGCATCCGCCTATCCTGCCCCTGCCTCAGAGCCAGCGCCCTAGCCCTGATCTTCCAGCAGGAAGGCCTGGGAGTGAGCTGTTTTGTTCAAGTCTTAAGGCACGTGGGTATGTGACTTCAGGTGTCTGTCCACAGCCTGGATATGAACTGCATGTCGCAGGTCACCATGTTGAAGCCCAGTGCCTGGAGGGCCTGCTGACTCCTCCTCCGGGCCCACAGTGCTGTGTGGTTTGAGACCATCTGTGGTAAAATACCTGAGAAAATCGCCTTAGAAAGAGGACAGGCTCATGTTTCCAGAGGTTTCAGTTCATGGTCACCTGACCCAGTTGCTTTTGGGCCTGTGACAGAGTAGCATGTCATGGCAGGAACCAAGCTACTCCCTTCATGGCATCCAGGAAGCAAACAGGAAGAGACCAGGGGCCCACTGTCCCCTGGGGAACACACCCCCAGCAACCTCACCCCACCCTCTAGGCCCACCTTGCACAGGTTCCAACCCCTCGGACAGTGCAGTGGGCTGGGGACCACGCCTGACACGCAGGCCTCTCAGGGACACTCGGTCCAAACCACTGGGCTGGGCTGTCTGCCGGGGCTGTCTGCCGGGGCTGCTGGGTGCCCAGGACTCCTGCACTTCACTGGCTTCCCCGCTGTGGCCCCCGCAGGGGGAGCAGACCCCTGAGAGCAGAGTGGAGCCATCCTCAGACGCACCCTGCTCCAGGCCTGGCCTTTAACCAGGCTGCTGTCCTCCCCGGGGTTCCTCACAGGCTCTCCAGTGAGCAAACCCTGGAGCAAGAGTGTGCAGGTGTGGAGCCAAGTGGCCCCGTGTGTACTCAGAACTCCAGGTCACGTGTGACCGAAACCACCGAAAGCAAAACGGGGTCCTGTGTGTCGATGCCAGGGTGGGCCAGCACTGCCCAGCCTCTAGCTGAACAGCTCTAGCAGAAGCCCCAGGCGGTGTGCCTGGAAGGCCCGGGCCTTCCCTGTGCAAGTCGCTGTGGCTCAGGGTGGCCAGAGCCAGGGCGGAGCCAGCCTCCACCCACCTATGGAGACAGGGGGCTTCTCAGTGGAAAGTCCAGGCTCTGTTGCCAGAGGTGAAACACCAGGTGGCTGAACGGAGCCTGGGGCCTTCTGCAGAAGCCCAGGAGCTCCGGGCCTCATGAAGCTTCCTCCAAGGCCCCAGGAAGGCAACGTCTCTTCCCACCAGCTCCCTATCCCGTCGCCCAGTAATTCTCTTCCAATGCCAGCAGGGAACAGTGTGATTAAGGCCCCATTATTAACTTGCCAATCTTGTTTCTGGGGCACAGACGCTAACGGCTTAGGGGACCCACTTGGCATATAACGAGGTCTCCATGACAAATTACTTGGGTATCAATTAACTATCTGGGGAAATGTCAGGCAGGATCCGTCATGCTGGCAGGGAGAGAGAGCCAATTAACCTGGAGCGGTCAATCGGATCTGGATTCGGCCTCCAGCAGGGCCAGGAAGGAGGGAGGGGCCTGTGGGGGCCACTGAGGCGGGGCCTCGCTCCTCCCTCTACCCCAGCGTTAGCCTGGGCATGGCTCTGGCCTCTGCTGCCTCAGTCCCTTCATTCACTCCTCAGTCACCTCCCTAATGAGTGGTGGCTGAGAGGGGACTGAGGAGGAAGAGGGACAGCAGTACAGGCAGGTGGTGTGTGCGGCTCTGTGGGAATCAAGGGTGACAGCATCTTCAGGGCAGGGAGGAGGGCCCGACAGGAGGGAAGGAGGGGCTGGGCCCAGGGACCAGGGTGGCATGGGGTGGAGAGGCCAGGAGGCGCAGAGCAGCCCTGGCATGGCTGAGAGACAGGCCGCCTGAACCACAGGACACACCCTGGCAGTCCAGAGCAGTACCTGCCCCTGCTGCTGGGGAGCTGTAAGACTGACGCAGCCTCTAAAGCCCTTGAAGAGCCTCGTTTTCTCCTCCTAGAATGAGGATGCGAGCCCAGTTCCCAGGAGAGCTGTGAACATGGACAGGGCCCAGAGCAGGCGCGGACTGAACTTGGTCCCCTCTGCCCCTCCCGCAAGTGTGGTTTGGGCCCCACCCTGGTGAAGCCTGATGGAACATTCTCAGGTCAGAACCGGAGACCAGGGTGCGTTCCTGGGGTGGCATCCTTGGGAGGGCAGTGTGGGCTGGTCAGCTGGCACTTGGTGGGCAGAAACCAAGTCCCAGTCTCGGCTGTGACCTCTCTGACCGGCAACACTCATGTGCTCTGGGTGCCTGGGACATGTCCCCCAGATGAGGACCAGTGACATACCCTCACACACTCCACCCATGGCTTTGTCAGAGTGGAGCCTCGGCACGCCCTCTGGTGCAGTAGATGCCCCCACCCTGGTCTATTCAGTGAATGATTGGCAGCTGCCACTTCCCAGCCCCCCAGCCTCATGTCTATTCATGACACTGACATATGGCACCTCCACGGGGGGGTCCGAGGAAGCTGCCAATTGAGAGAGTGCAGCGTGTCCCCGTTCGAGCCCTGCCGAAGCAAAACAAACTCAAGACGCAAGGGAGCAGAGGCGGCCCGGGGGCGGGCACGCGCGTGTGTGCGTGTGCCAGCCTGTGTGTGTGTCTGCGTGCTGCTGCGGGGGCGTGGGAGGAGGGAAGGGGGCACCCGGGGCAGGCTGTGGGGCTTGGCAGTGGGTTCTGGGTCTCAGAGGATCCTGGAGCCTCAGCTAATGGGGTCCTAAGGAACTGGGCTGTCCATCCTGGCCCAGGCAGTCTGGCTTGCAGCAAGAACTCGGCTGGCAGGAGGCCCCATCACCTCCCCTCCTCTCTCACACCAAGGAATGCTGAGCCAGAGGCCACAGCTCGGCTGCCCAGCAAGCAGATCCCTGCAATGCTCTTCTAGTTCTTTCTGCAGCCGGGACGGGACGTTCTATCTCACATTGAACCAAAGTCCTGAGGGCTCTGGGCCTGGCCAGTATCTTCTGTGTTTATTGGGGAAGGCCTGGTCCCACATCAGTGGAGGTGCTGCCGACCACCAGCGCTTTCCCCACCAGGCCCCTGCTCCATGCTGGCCCCCCCTCCAGTGCCCAGCTGGGGACCCACCACCACAAAGCCCTACTCCTGGGTCTGGGGAGGGCAGAGCCAGGCCAAAGGCCAGGGTCTCCGGGTCCTCAGCAGGCCTTTTCTCCAAAGTCTGGAGGTCGCTGCCTAGAAACCAGGATTCTTCACCAACGGGGTGCATGCGTCCTGGACATGACCAGTGGGTCTGAGGTCTATGGCCACCACCTCCGAGGACGTGCAGGTCCAGGGTCCCCTGACCCAGGACTCCACCTGCCCCCACAGTGTTAAGAAGCCAGAGGAGATGGAGATGGAGTCCAGGACACACAATGCCAGAGCCAGGGGAAGAGCTGGGGTCGGGCTTGCCTCGGCCCCGCTGAGCTTCCGACCTTGGGGACACTAGGACACTCAGGACCCCTTTCCGTAGGCCTCCGCCTGCTCTCTGCAGCGGCAGCCTCGTGGGGTAGGACTGAGGGGTCCACCTGCTCCTTCTTGGCAGGAGTGTGTCTGGGGCCTGGAACCAGCACCTCAACACTGTGGGCTTCCCCAGGGAGTCAAGCAGAGGGACAGTCTTGCCCCTCAAGGGTGCAGCCTGCCAGAGAGAGGCCCCCATCAATTCCCCAAGCAGCTGGAGTGAGGGGCTACTGCTGGGCAGCTCTGACTCCAGCCCCACCAGCACCCTTACCCAGGGTCACCTGGTGTCCTGACCTGCCCAGCCTTGGACGGGTGTTTCTGCCCCAACAGAGTGTTGGGGGCCCGCCCGGGGCCCTGGCCCTGGCTGACAGCGTGCACATCCGCTGCAGGCGCTGGGCCGACCGCATTTCAGGCACTCGGGGCAGATGGCTGCCAGTGAGCTAAGTGTGTGCGGGGGAAGGGGTGCCATAGGAACCCCTTCCCGCAGGGAGTGTGGGGGCGGGAGAGGCAGGCACCCGCTTGTGGGGGGAGCAGGGACCACATCAGAGGGAGGGGGCTGGGATCACATGGGCTCCAGGGTTGGGGTGGGGCCTAGGAGCCAGATCCCG